TGTGTCTTTTCTCATCGTGTAAAATAAGCCTCTTGCCTTCACATTTACTCTGTGTCCCATAGTGTCCCATAGTGACACTCTAAGAATTAGTGCTCACTTTTCCAGTTTTCACTCTTAACCTACTTCAGTTAGGGTTTTGCTTCAGTGACTCCAGAAAAATACCCCTTGTCAAGGTCAGCAGGGCCAAACTTCTGTGGCACTAAAGCCCGCTGTCCCCGAATGGTGCCTGGTCCGTTGGCCCACTTGGCACTGCGGCAGCTCCCTCCCTTTGTGGACTCTTGTGCTGTGCAGTTGCCCTCCCCTTGCTGACTGCTGCTCCCCGGCAGCTTTTGCAGGTTCCTTCTGGCAAGTTGATTCCCAAATATGCAGGGCTGCAGGGCTCCATGCTCAGTCTTTCTGGCTGTGCTCACTGCCTCTGGTGGGCATGTTGTTTAGTCCCTGAGTTTCCAGAGCCCTCTGCGGCTGATTTATTTTAAAATTTCTAGGCTGTCCCCTTCCCCTAGGCAGTGTAGGTTTTATATCCAATTGCTTATTTACCTTTTCCACTGGAATGATTGATAGGAGTCCTAGTTACTTTTAACATGGTGAGACAAAATATCTCACACCCAAAGTTAAAGGAGGAAAGGTTTATTTCAAGTCCCAGGTTGTAGGGATTTCAGTCCATTGTTGGCTGGCTCCAAGGCAGGATGTATGGCAGAGGGGCACCCAAGAGAAACAGTTCACTGCAGGCAGAAGGCAGCAGCAGAAAGCTACACGTGACTAGCAGTGACCCTCTTTTAGTCCCTTATGTCCTATCCAGGCCACCTACCCTTAGGATGGGTGGCACTCACACCCAGGGTGGGACACCCAAATCCTAGCATCACAGCATAAATCAGCGGGATATGGCTTTCAGAGGGATCTAGATATAATTCATAAGAATAGGTATTTTGGGTCAACAATGCTTATTTGTCTTCAAACTACTCGTGGTGTAATCCTTTCTGAGTTATGAAAGGGGACCTCTGTCTTTCTGGTGTTTTAGGCTGAGAACCTTGTGTTCATCATTGCAGATCCAGGCCGGTCTGCCTGTAGGAAGGACCCAGAGCTCAACCACTTCTCTCTCACACCTGCACTGTGTAGGTCTGGGTGACGGTGACATCTCTCCTAGGTTGCTGCACTACATTCTTCTGTCTCTTTGCTTCTGTCCTTGTCCCTTGTAGCATATTTTCTGTGTAACAGCTAGCATGCATCTTTGCACTGTGTCCCATTGTCACACACGCACAGGACCCGCTGGTAGATTCCCCTCTCCTTCAGGATCCGCTCCACACAGACATTGCTGTGCATCAGCGAGGAGCTCTGCGTGGTGTGTGCTTTAGGCCTCTTGCCACTCCGCGCCCTCACCCAGCTGTCCTTGCTGCGGGAACCTACTGCATGCCTTGCCCTCTTCTCTCGCACTTCTTTCCTCAGATGTTGCCTTCTGGATGAGGCATGCCCTCTGCTACTGCTGTATTGCCTGTGACCCCAGGCCTGCACTAGCCATCACTGACTCTATAACTTCAGTATTTGTGTCTGTAATTGTGTGTTTGTTAACTCCCCTGCTGGAAAATGCACTTCACGAGGGCAGTGACTTTGTTCTCTGTGTGTCTGCTCTTAGAAGAATGTGCAGTATTGGGTGAGCCCACAACAGGTAACTCTTGAATGAATGCACTTCAGTTAGCCTCTGTCATATATATTAATTTTGTCATCTACTTTTTTTTTTATGGTCAGCTCAGCCCACCCTGGGGGCGGGGCTGGCATGGCATGTGGTGCTGGGGATCGAACCGAGGTCCCTGCATGCTTGCCTAAGCTTGCCTAAGCAGGTGCTTTAGACCACTGAGCCATCTCGCCAGCCCTGTCATCTACTTTTTGACTTGAACCTTATAGTCAAAGGTCAGTGTCTTTCCTCATCATAAGGCACCAGGTCACCTCAGAAATCTGCACTTCAGGTGCTCTCTGGGATGTATAGTTGAGTCTTCACAACTTTTCTCCCGTGGTCCACAAGCTGTAGTCGGCCTTTATGATTAGCATATATGGTCTGTAGTTGGATATTCTGTTCTTTGACCTATTCTGCTTTGCTCTTCTTGTTTAGATTCCTTAAAGGAGGATTTTTTTTTTTTTTTTTTTTTTTTTTTTTGGAACCGGGCATTAAACTCAGGCCCTTGTGCTTGCCAGGCAAGCACTTGCTCTACTGAGCCATCTCCCCGGCCCATCTGCTTTGCTATTCTTCAACTTACCTTGTTTTGCCCGGATCTGATAGAACTGAAATGAGACTTAAATACTGTGGTTTAAAATTGGGCAGAGGACCTGACTGAACATTGTGCAAAAGAAACAAATGGCCGTTAGGTATAGGAAGTGTAGGAAGCATCATTTATCAGCAGAATGAGACATCACATCACACCTCTTAGAGTGACTTACCAACAAGACAAAAGATAGAAGAGCTAGTGAGGATGTGGAGAAAAGGGAACCTTTGCATATTGTTGGGGCTGTAAATTAGTTCAGCCATTGTGGAAAGCAGGAGCCCCCCACCCCCCCAAAAAAAAGCAGAATTAGCAAATGACCCACTCGCAGCACTGCTGAACATCCATGCAAAGGAAACAAATCGCTGTGACATCTGCACTCGAATGTTTACCGCAGCAGCAGTCAGCCTAGCGTCCATTAGTGGGTAATGGATAAAGAAGACAATGTAAACGCCCATTAGTGGGCAAGCGGGTAAAGAAAGTGTGGTATACGCATATAGTGGGATACTCTCCTGTCACTTGCAGTATGGATGAGCCTGTAGGGTATTATGCTACGTTAGATGAGCCAGGCACAGAAAATAGCTATGACGTGATCTCATTTCTGTGTGACTCTAAAGAATTAGAGAAGAGGGTGGTAGTTGTCAGGTGCTTGGGTGGGAGCCAGAGGATGGGGTGCAAACCAGTCCGCACGTGTGACGTTTCTGTGAGTCCACATGGGGGGTAAGTTCCTCCTGCAGCTTGGTGGCTACAGCCGATGATGGTGTTCGGTGTTTTGAAAGAAAACCGATTAGATTTTAAATGTTGTCATCACAGAAAAGGATAAGTATGTGATACAATATGCATGCTACTTGGGTTTCTTTTGGCAGAACCAGGGATTGAACTCAGGCCCTTGTGCTTGCCAGACAAGCACTTATTCTGCTGAGCCATCTCCCGGCCCCTCATGCTAATCGTTAATGAGCTGACTGAGCCATTCCAGGCTGTATGCGTACTCAGAACACCATGCTGTACATAGTAAGAACATATAGTATTTACGTATCAGTTAACTTTAGAAAGGGACTTTAATGTCTTACAAGATCATATGTTCAACTGCTGCTTATTTTGATATTGTGATATATGTATTGAAAAATGATTATATTCTCTGCCTGGCTGATTTGTGATACCTCTTTAAATTTTTGTGCTGTGGAATCTGTTTCATTCGTTTGTTTTTGGTGCCAGCACTCTAAACATTACTGAGGCTTTTAGTGTGTCTCAATACTTAGTAGGGGTAGGGTTTTCTTCTTGATTGTACATTTCAGAATTTTTGGTGATGGTTTGGTTCTTTACACCTCTGTGTAATTTTGAAAAATCTTTAATCGTGTTATAAAAAAGAAAAATGTGCCTTTGTTTTTTTTTTTCCCCAAGGAGAGTATTAAACTGGGCTAATCTACAAGTTTACATAAATTACTATTTTACCAAAATTTTTACTTTTTAATAGTAGAAATCCTTTTTTATTTTGAATACCAATGATGTATCTCTTATTAGTTAGAAAAAATGTAAATGATCTGTTAAATTTGTTTTGTTCCAGATATGTTTTCTTCTTTTTGCTGTTCTCTATGTGGTGTCCTACTTAATCATCACAAGATACAAGAGAAAATCAGGCAAGTAGACACATTTTTTTAAATGTTTTATTTTTTACTTTTTATTTTTCCGTAATTCTATTGAGAGACAATTAGCAATGAGACAGTTTCAAATCAAATTGGTATGACAGTTTCAATAATTAACTCATTGTATACTCTCTTTCTAGTGGTTATTTGCTGTACAGGATGCAGACATGATATCCTATTTACAAACACTATTACAACAAATCCCTCTATTCATTCAGAGAATGTAACTATATATCTATCCTAACCATTTTGAATACACAGATACAAAATGGACATTCATCTGTATCCCCTTTTTTGTTTAGTTCC